TCATGGGGATTTTGTGTGCCAAGTTTGGACCAGGTCCATCATCGATTAAGGTCAGTTTCTCTGGCTGTGGGTGAAATACAACTCCCAGAAAGGAAGGTCAGTTTCTCTGGCTTTCAGTGAACTACAACCCCCAGAAAGGAAGGTCAGTTTCTCTGGCTGTGGATGAACTACAACTCCCAGAAAGGAAAGTCAGTTTCTCTGGCTGTGGGTGAACTACAACTCCCAGAAAGGAAGGTCAGTTTCTCTGGCTTTCAGTGAACTACAACCCCCAGAAAGGAAGGTCAGTTTCTCTGGCTGTGGGTGAACTACAACTCCCAGAAAGAAAAGTCAGTTTCTCTGGCTGTGGGTGAACTACAACTCCCAGAAAGGAAGGTCAGTTTCTCTGGCTTTCAGTGAACTACAACCCCCGAAAGGAAGGTCAGTTTCTCTGGCTGTGGATGAACTACAACTCCCAGAAAGGAAAGTCAGTTTCTCTGGCTGTGGGTGAACTACAACTCCCAGAAAGGAAGGTCAGTTTCTCTGGCTTTCAGTGAACTACAACCCCCAGAAAGGAAGGTCAGTTTCTCTGGCTGTGGATGAACTACAACTTCCAGAAAGGAAGGTCCATTTCTCTGGCTTTGGGTGAAATACAACTCCCAGAAAGGAAGGTCAGTTCCCCCCAAACCCCTCCAGTAATCAAATTATATGGCTTTGTAGACTCATATAATCCAGTTCAAAGCAGATAATGTGGATTATAAGGCAGTGTAGATTAAGTCAAATACAAAGGAGAAGACAGAGAGGCATGAATGAAAAGTAATGCCTCCACCTTTGTTACTTGGGTTTGGATGGGAATATTTTAACAAATCAAATGCAGAAATAATCCTTAGAATGTGCTCTTTAACTACCACTATTTGCTTTTCCACATAATCACCAGACAATTGGATATATTTCTGCCAACGATGAACAAGTTTTCTGAAGCCGTCATGGAAGAAGTTGACACTCTGTTTCCACAACCAGTTCTTTAAACGTCTTCATTAGAAGCATAATGATGTCCCTGCAGATCTTCTTTCATTATCGGGAACAGATGGAAGTCAGACAGTGCTAAATCTGGACTGTATGGAGGATGCCGTACGGTGGTGAGATCCAGTCTCTGAAGTTTCAAGTCTGTGCGCTTTCATTTCAGGCGTCAGCATCCTGGGTACCCATCGTGCACAGATCTTCCGATAGCCAAGCAAAGCAATAATGTGACCCACATGTTCTTGTGAAATGCCGATTATGCTTGAAATTTCTCTCTGAGTGATACAACGATCGTCCTGAATCAATCTGTCAACCTTTTGCTTGTGAAACTCGGTGGTTGCTGTCACAGGACATCCAACTTTTTGTTTGTTGCACAAGTCAGATATTCCCACCTCGACATCTTTTAACTTACTCGCCCAACGACGCACAGTACTCACATCAACACAATCACCATAAACAGCCTGCATTCTCTGATTAATCTCCTTTGGGGTGACACCTTCTCCTGTCAAGAATTCAATTACTGCACGCTGCTTACGTCGCATTAAGTCTGCGCAGGATTCCATACTTTGCACTTTGACAGCACAACCATTCAATGCTAAGGCTTCCCGCCAAAATGGAAATGTAGAGGAGAGTCTACTGAACAAGCCAGTACCTGCCGCATACCAGTACTGCCATCTGTTGAGGAGTTATGAAGGTAAAAGCATTACTTTTCATTCAACCCTCGTATTCCTTGTTTGGTGAATACTGACATCATTTCAGATGCCAAAGTCATTTGCCATGTTGGGTTGCTGTTGTTTTCTTCTCCACTTTGCTTCCAACTGTGCTGAAACAGTTGTGTTCATGTTATATCAGAGTAAGATGACCAGTCATGTCTCTCGCAGCTTGTTTTGTGTAAATCTAATATCCTAATATATTTAGGACAAAATTATGAAGACCTTGACGTTCCTGGGTTGCCAATTTAAGCAGAACAAAAGTTGTGTTACTGCGCCACAAAAGGGAGCAAGAGAGAGAGAGGCAAGCAACACGCAGGACATCTCATTATTAAACGTGATGAAAGAGATGTGTTAATGTCAAAGTAGACAATTAAGAACAAATCTGTCATTTCTGAGAAAGTGTCCCAGGCATTCTAATTTACAGTTAGCACATTTCTGCACAGTTGATCACGATTTAATTAGCAAAGCCGCTCTTGGACTTTCGAAACTCATGTTGACCAAGAGCCTTTCATTTTCCTACAGACTTCTTGCACCTACATAAATAAGCACTTATATAACTAATTAGAAACTAGTGTATTGGATAATTCCTTAATGAAAAGGGGAGAAAGGGTCTGGAGGCAGTTTGGGAAGAAAAGTTGAAAAATTACAAACAAGAGAGTCTGACTGTGACATGGCTACATTGGGTAGAACTTCAACAAACACATTACTTTGGCTCAAGGCCTTTTGAAAAGTATTTTCACCTGCATCTGAAAAATAGAATTCCTGTATGTCTACACCATATATGATTTGGCCAGGGTGGTCCATGCCTGGGGGTTGGGAATCAGCCTGTGTTTGTGTTCCAGGATGACCATGATGCTTCTGATGTGGGCAAAGATGTGGGCAATGCTGTGAGAAATGATGAAGGAAATGATGGTGCCGAGGCTGAGGTGCAAGATGGAGATGGTTTGGTCAATGATTTTCTTGCAGACAATGACAGAGAGGCCCCTGTGCAAAGGGCAGTTTCACATGAGAATATTCCTTCTGGCCATAGGGATTATGGTTTACTCCCTCTCTCTATGAGCTCTCAAGATTTGGGTTTGGAAAACAATCTGACACCTGGAAATTTTAATGAGTAGACAGAAAGGGAGTTGAAAAACAGGCGGCTGGAGTTCAGCTAGGACCAACAACAAACTCAAGGTTTACGTCGCTCTGAATGGCTTTGTCAGATAAAAGTCAAGGGTGGGGGAAAATGAAACTAGTTTCTGGGTTTTGGGATATAAGGTTTGCTTCAAGGGAAAACCTGTTAGAACAGGCATCGTTTGGAAATCAAGTTCATGTGTCGTGGAAATCCTGTTTAAGGAGTCTTGTTTTTGTGGATACTTTTAGCCTTTTGGTGTTGATTAGCAGCGTTTGGATTGTCTTTGCATCCTGTTGATTCCTATCTGGATAAATATTGCCTTGGATTGCTTTTACATCTTTTGTGGGCATTGCTTTGAGTTACTGCATTTTACTGACCTTTTACTTTTTGGAACTTTACTATTTTCTTACAAGCATTTCTTTCTACTGGCTACTTTACTAAGCTTCAAAAAAAAAAAGGAATTATTTCTTCACTCAGCATGTGGTGTGTTTTAAAATCAGAGGGCTTTTTCCTGTCCTGGAGTGCAACACTGGGTTACATCCAGATTGGACTATTGCAATGCACTCTACTTGAGGCTGCCCTTGAAGACGGCCCGGAAATTGCAACTGGTACAACGGGCGGCAGCCAGGCTCCTTACTGGAGCCCAAGGGCTGAGAAAAGCGGTAAATAAACGAAGTAAATAAATAAATAAATAAATAAACTATAGGGAATATACAACGCCCCTATTAAAACAGTTTCATTGGCTGCCAATAAGTTGCTGAGCCAAATTTAAGGTGCAGGTAATGACCTATAAAGCCCTAAACAATTCAGGCCCTGCCTATCTTCGCGATCGCATCTCCATCTATGAACCAGTGCGAACTCTAAGATCCTCCGGGGAGGCCCTCCTCTCACTCCCACCTCTGTCACAAGCACGGTTGGTGGGGACGAGAGAGAGGGCCTTCTCGGTGGTGGCCCCCTGCCTCTGGAACGTCCTTCCAAGGGAAATAAGACAGGCCCCATCCCTCCCCTCTTTTCATAAGAGTTTGAAGACTTGATTTTTTCAACAAATCTTCGAGAGTGACCAGTGCTAGCTCAGCCCAGACACTGTCCGGACACAACATAGCCCCCTATATATTACCCTGGTAATTCTTCTAACAGGCCCCTGGAAATAGCCCATCCCCGCTTTTGTCGTTTACCTATTACAGTACTGTACCCAAATGCCGGTCCCATCTTATTTCAATTTGTATCAGTCTTGACCCAGCCTTTTTAATTGTCCTGACCCATTCCTTTTCCATGCCCTAACAAATAGACATGAAGAGCAGGCAGGATTTTTTATTTCAATATTGATGTGTTGTTGGGTAATTCCATGCTTACGTTGCTATTACTGATATTTTTTTGTGCATGTTGTGACTTTTAATGTTTTGATGTTGCTGCTTGGAAATTGCCCTGAGTCCCCCCCCCCGGGGAGATATAAATAAAGATATTATTATTATTATTATTATTATTATTATTATTATTATTATTATTTGAAACACAACAAGATGAGTCCACAGCAGACAAGATCACTCTGCTGGCACAATTCCTAATTGTCTAACACTATTATTATTATTATTATTATTATTATTATTATTATTATTATTATTACACCAGGCATGGGCAAACTTTGGCCCTCCAGGTGTTTTGGACTCCAACTCCCACAATTCCTAACAACCTATCAGCTGTCAGGAATTGTGGGAATTGGAGTCCAAAACACCTGGAAGGCCAAGGTTTGCCCATGCCTGGTCTACACTGTGGCAATGGAGAGGGCTAAGTATCTTGTAAAACCACAACTCCCAGGATTCCCTAGCATGAGCCACAGCATTTAAAGTGGTGCCAAACTGTTGTATAGATGTACCCTCAGTTTACAAAAGGGTATGTGACCAACTTTGTTCTCCTAGGGGACATCTACTCTAACCATTTCAGTCCATTTAAAACCAATGTTGACAAAAGTGGTTTTGTTGTGGAGACAATTACATAGTAAATCCTGGAACCAGTTTGAAGCCCAAATGGTGATTAAACAAACCACAAAGCACTGATATGCATTAAGGCCTTTCGTATGCATTCGTTGTCTAGACACTGCAGTCTAAAGTTAGTTTTCAGCTGCATCAAATGGTCAGTGTAGATGGCAAACATGATATTATCTGCAGAGTACTCACCACAGTTTGGTGGTTGACTTGGATCACTTCGTCCCCTGCATGGATTTTCTTGCACTGGTCTGCTGGAGACTAAAGGCAAGAGAAAGAGAGGAAAAGGAAGCTTGACAACATGAAGGGCCAAATGGGAAATTGTTCAGGTTCCATCACTGTACCATTAAACAGTGGCAAGTGTTTCTTAAACAGCATCCTTCTGATTGAATATTGAGTCACTCTTGTGTGGTCCATCAAGACATGACAATCTCAAGCCACTGGGTTTTCTAGGGAGGAGTTGAGTGAAGCAGTCATTAATCACCAGGCACAGTGATGGTATCAAACTCATTAAGCTAATTTAGTAATATAAATTAAAAAAACCGAAAGAGCTGTTGCATAGTTTACAAAATTTCAAGATAGCTACTGAGATTTCCAGAACTCATCTTCACTAGCTAGACATGGGGAACTGTGGTGTCTTCAAAGAATGGTGAAAATATAAATTTCTACAGTGTCGAAGATCATAATCACTATTAAGCTTATGCATTTCAGCTGAACCACGATTTGTTTCTGCTGGTCAAATTTCAGGATACCCCTGAATCCATGTTCACACGCCTCCCAAAAGTGGGTGGGTAGTTGGATAGCTATTTTCAGTCCACAGCTGAAAAATGTGGCTAGATCTAGCTTATTGGTGGCAATGGGGAGGGTGCTCCCTGGGCTCCCCTTTCCATCATTTTTAGGGCTATCAGGATGAAAATGACCAAACTTGGAGGACACATCTGCCACTGTTACTCCACCAAGTTTCATAATTTTTTTTCTGATTGGTCCAACAGGAAGGGCTCCCAGGGAAATCCCATTTCAGCCAAAAAAAAAAACATGGCGGCTGAGCCTTTACCATTACAGTCAACCAAAGAAGCCGAATTGACCAAAGGGAACCAACCAAATCAAATCCATGGCCATGCCTAATCACTATCCCTTGTGCCATTTTGTTGGTCCTGCATCAATATGTCACAAGTAACACCTGCCAGCAGTAAAGAATTGGTGGGATCATAAACCCACAAAGGTCGTGGAAAATGAACATGCAAAAATACTGTGGGACTTTCGAATCCAGAATGACAAAGTTTTGGAACACAATACACCAGACATCATGACTGTGGAAAAGAAAAAATCTGGATTATTGATGTCGCCATTCCAGATGACAGTCACAATGAGGAAAAACAACAGGAAAAAGCTGCTATCAAGACCTCAAAATCGAACTGCAAAGGCTCTGGCATCAACCAGTCCAGGTGGCCCCAGAAGTCATTGGCACACTGGGTGCCGTGCCAAAAGATCTCAGCCGGCATTTGGAAACAATAAACATTGACAAAATCACAATCTGTCAACTGCAAAAGGCCACCTTACTTGGATCTGCGTACATCATTCGAAAATACATCACACAGTCCTAGACGCTTGGGAAGTGTTCGCCTTGTGATTTTGTGATACAAAATCCAGCATAGAGATCTCGTTTGCTGTGATATACTGTGCTTTTGTGTCATTATTATTATTATTATTATATTTCAGCTACGGACCTATCCAGCTACCTACCCATTTTTGGGAGACACACACACATGGATATGGGGGTCTACCAGTATCCAGCTAGCAGAAATGGATTGAGGTTCAGCCAAAATGCACAAGCCTAGTAATTTGTGAAGGTTGTTGCATGGAGGGCATAGCCAATCCTACTTCTGTTGCCAACTGCCAGTATCTTAAAACTTGTGCGTCACCAGAGCCCGTACCTTGGGAAGTCTGATTTGGCCACAGTAGTCCACACCCTGGTTACATCCTGTATAGACTACTGCAACACGCTCTACGTGGGGCTACATTTGAAGACTGTTCGGAAGCTTCAAATGGTCCAACAGGTGGCAACCAGGTTATTAACAGGAGCGGCACTCAGGGAGCGCACAACTCCTCTGTTGCGCCAGCTCCACTGGCTGCCAGTTTGCTACCGGGCACAAGTCAAAGTGCTGGCTTTGGCCTTTAAAGCCCTAAACAGTTCTGGCCCAGCTTACCTGTCCGAATGCATTTCTACCTATGAACCATCTAGGTCTCTAAGTTCATCTGGGGAGGCTTTGCTCTTGGTCTTGCCTCCTTCGCAGATGCGACTGGCAGGAATGAGAGACAGGGCCTTCTCAGCGGTGGCCCCTCGGCTATGGAACGCCTTCCCTAGGGATATCAGATCGGCCCCCTCCCTCCTAACATTTCAGAAAAGAGTTAAAACCTGGCTCTTTGAACATGCATTCGCAGATGCAATGTCACAGGCTAATTTAGATCCACGGAACGATTGGACAATGCGACTGGAAAATGATTTTAGTAATGAGACACTGAGGACTTGTGTTTCATTGTTTTTATTGTTTTTATATGGTCTATACTATATGTTGGAGCCCCCAGTGGTGCAGTGGGTTAAAGTGCTGAGCTTGTTGAGCAAAAGGTCACAGGTTTGATTCTGGGTAGCGGCGTGAGCTTCCACAGTCAGCCCTAGCTTCTGTCAACCTACCAGTTCAAAAACATGCAAATGTGAGTTGATCAATAGGTACTGCTCCAGCGGGAAGGTAATGGCGCTCTATGCAATCATGCCGGCCACATGATTCTTGGAGGTATCTATGGACAATGCTGGTTCTTCAGCTTAGAAATGGAGATGAGCACCATACCCCAGAGACTGGACTTAATGTCAGGGGACAACCTTTACCTTTTATACTATACTAGCTTGGGGACCCGGCGCTGCCCGGGTTATTAGAGAAAGTGGGTAATGGTGGTTCTCTATGCCAAGTTTGGTCTTTATTGGTCATTGGATGATGGTTGCATTGTTTTCAGGAAGTGAGTGAAGGTACTTGAAGTGCCATCATCCATGGTCCACCCTTCTCCAAACAGCAGCAGGATACAGAGTGGGTCATGGGGGCTCTGTGTGCCAAGTTTGGTCTTTATCAGCCATTGGATGAGGGTGGTAGTGGTTTCAGTAAGTGAGTGAAGGTAATGCAAGTCCCATCATCCAAAGTCCATCCTCCTTCAAACTGCAGCAGGATGTAGAGTGGGTCATGGGGGCTCTGTGTGCTAAGTTTGGTCTAGATTGGTCTATGGATGAGGGTTGCAGCAATCTTGGGAAGGAAGTGGAGGTACTTGAAGTCCCATCATCCATGGTCTGTCCTCCTCCAAACTGCACCAAGATGTAGAGTGGGTCATGGAGACTCTGTGTGCCAAGTTTGGTCTTGATCAGTGATTGGCGAGGGTCTCAGTGGTCCCAGGAAGTGAGTGCAGTGACTGCAAGTCCCATCATGCATTGACAAATTATTCCAAACCGCACCAGGATGTAGAATGGGTCATGCAGGCTCTCTGTGTAAATTGTGGTCCTGACCCATCATTGTTGGCAGTTGTAATGGTCGTAGGAAGGGAGTGCAGGTATTGCAAGCCCCATCGTCCATGGTGCATCCTCCTCCAAACTGCACCAGGATTTAGAGTGCATCATGGAGACTCAGTGTGCCAAGTTTGATCTTTATCGCTAATTGGATGAGGGTTGCAGTGGTCTCAAGAATTGAGCAAAGGTATCGCAAGTCCCATAATCCATGGTCCATCCCCAGCCAAACCACACCAGGACGTAAAGTGGGTCATGAGAGGTCTATGTGCCAAGTTTGGTCCTGATCAGTCATTGGATGAGGTTAACAGCGGTCTCAGAATGTGAGTGATGGTACTGCAAGTCCCATCATCCATGGTTCACCCTCCTCCAAACTGCAGTAGGATGTCGAGTGGGTCATGGGGGCTTTGTGTGCCAAGTCTGGTCTGTATTGGTAATTGTCTGACTCAGCCCCCTCTGGCCTTTTCCTTTCCTCTCTTTGTCATCTCGGAATCTTGGAATTGAGGCTGGCCAATCAGAGACTATATGCAAATTTCCTTCTCATGTCCCTGTTTCTGCCATGAACCCTCTTCTCCACCAGGGGCTCCTATTGAAGCTGGCCAATCAGAGACCATATGCAAATAGCACCACAGCGGTAGCCAATCAGAACGCTGCCACATACACCGCCCTCCCTCCACAATTCCTCTGTCCGATACAAACACTCTCTTTATTATATATAGACGTTGAGGACTTATGCTTTTACTGGTTTTATATTATATGTTAATTGTTTTAATGGTAATTTATGTGGTTGGGGGCATTGAATTGTGCCGACTGTAAACCGCCGTGAGTCGCCTTCGGGCTGAGAAAGGCGGTATATAAAAATGGTAAATAAATAAATATGTTCAAAAAACCCACTGCTAGGACTCTTAAATACAGAAAAATCAAGTGTTTGTCAAAGAATGTGTCCCAGCTATCTGTAGCATTTGATCACACAATTACTATATGCATATATGAAAATACTGTTATGTCTCTTCCAAGAGGTAGAGATTTGGGCTAGGCTCTATTTGTCTTTTCCCCTAGTTTTCCTCTCTCCTTTCCTGCACCATCCCCGTCTTTTGACTCTGACCGTGATTCCTTTCCCTTATCTATTCCCTCTTTTACATCTTAGCCGGGGTCAATTATTCCTTCAAAAGAGAAGCCAAATCAATTGGTTGAAGTAGTCGGGATGAAATGGCTTTGATGTTGCTTTTATTTCCCTCTGCATTTTGAACAGAAACAAAGCAGTGAGCCATGGCAGCGGAAGGCGCTTTCCCTTTTGCTCTCTGCACAAACAACCACCCTGAAGACGAGTCTCTTTTCCCGCTAAAGGATTTATGGCTTTCATTTGGTCAACTGACAAATTTCTCTTATTAAAAAATGTATAAGCTCTTTAACAAGGGCTGCTTTCCCCCCTTCCCTGCTCTGCATTTTCCTTAATAAAGTATTTTGTCTTCTGTAGCAAACTGTTTGCTGTAGGGGGAAAGGGAAATCTGTAATAAAATCGTGTACAATTGATTTTGGCTCAAGTCCCCTTTGGATTACTGGATTATGGAAGACACCGCACAATGCATTCAAACCCTGGAAGGGCATGGCTACAGAAGACACTTGCATAAATAACCAGAATTTCATTGTACTTTTCAGAAAGCAGAGGCAACACAGCAAGGCAGAGTTACACAGACTAGCAGTGAACAAAAAGCAA